ACTTTGTAGATGTACTGTAAGATCCAGAACATTTATAATTTTTGAATTGGGGGCGTGGGGTACCATTTAGCCAAATTCCATCATGTTCTTCGGGTAGTTAAGCCATGCTTGAAATTATTCAGCCCGTTGTATAAGCCGCTAAGACACCACATGTGGACAGTCTGTCTATATCCCGTTGTCCACGATGTGGGGCTGGAATCCGGGATGGACATTGCCAATACCCGTGGCTCATGTAAAAGCGTCTTAGGCGAGAGCCTGGCAGTGACCTTGCGTCCAATATCCGCACGTGGAAGTTGTCACGAGCTTGCGTCAAGTTCTTAGATCCCTTAATTTTTCAGGTGGATCCAAGCACTTGGCACATATGCTTGGTACTTCCAGATGTATCGACATATTTTGTGCAACTTGGAATCTCCGAATCAATAGGTGACTCCTGGTGACCTGCCCCGAAATGCCTAGAAGGGAAATCGGTTGACAAAGCCACCGTGACACGCTGACCTACTCGCAAAAAGACCATGCAAAACCCAAGGGACTTTATTTGTGAGAAAGCGTATCTCATACCCCATGGACCGCGTCAGCGGATACGGGGCGCTGTGCTGCCACGCGCGGTGGCAGCGGCTCCAGCAGCTGCGCGAGGAGCGAGGCTCGGGGTTTCTCGCTGTCGCCTGCGGTTGGTTTGCGGAAATGGGACGGCCTAGTGCAGTGAGTGCAGTTGTTGTAACGGTCAGACAGAAGAAACCTAAACATCCTTAATTCAAGAAGCCTCAACTAGATGATGTTATCTTTCAATTTGCACGCACTCCAACACTTGATCCATGTTGAGGCTACAGGTGGCTAAATATGCCACAAGGAAAGTTTGGGATGGAGCCTGAAAAATGTTAGGCGACTGCATATTTGTTTTGGGGGTTTTGAAGAGAAACCAAAGGCTAGACGTAGACCACTGGTTTTGCTTTCCTTGACTGCCGTTCAAATACTGATGTTCTACCCTTGCTGCGTCCTTGGCAACTTTTGAATCATATTGGACTTGCTTTGGCTCGACTTGCCCAGTGCTTCCAGCTACCAGGTAGTTACCACCTTTTGCCAGCCAATTGCCAGTGCCGGTTTGAGCGGCGCCTGTTTTCGACTCTGTTTTACCAGTACACAGAAACTGGGAGCCGGTCAGGAAGCCGGAAGTGACCCTTCCGCTCGAGGCCTTGATGCCATCATCATAGCAGTGGGGCCGGATGCATCCTTCAGCCGCAGCAATGAGGCGCAGCTCAAGAAGTTGAGCCGAAGGAATCGAGGGTGCAGCAGGGGACCTTTAATTATGGGCTCCAATAAACGTGTTCCAGCACGCACCAAAGAACAACCGGACAATCCTGAGCCACCCAAATGCATGGTTGCCATACTTGCCCCGTTGTGTGTTCGTCACGCTTCCTTTCAACTGGCAAAAGATATGCACAGAGGGCCCACGTAACATGGAGCAAACAAGAACCACCCAGCCGTCTCAGGCAGCTCCCTTTGGGGCACCTCTTGACATCTCACTGCACGTCCAGTGCGTTGAGTTAATAAGGCCATCGTCACAAAAACATAGTTTGTCTTCGAGCTTGTGCCTGGCTCAAACAGAACAGTTTCCCGCCCTCCAATCATGGAAGCTGACCGGGTGTTGGACAATTTTCCTCTTGGGGAAGCCCCCGATCATCCACTTCCAGGATTGGACAGAGGGTAAACTTGGGATCCCCTCGTTTTGCATCAATTGCTGCTCTGTTGACTTGGCTAACAAGTTGAACTTGTTTGCTCAGCTGTTTTGATTCAGACAGGGCATTTTTTAATATGGTGGTTCATTTTAATATGGTGGTTCATGACCACAGACTCCATGTAGATCACACATAATTGTAAAATATATATATATATATGTACACACTTCTAGATCATATTTTACACATGCACGCATGTGTACCAGGTAGCTTGTGGGACGTTTGGGTCCACCAGGCGGCCTTCAACTGGCTGCTGCTGGGCCTCAGTGGCCAAGAGTTGCTCAACTCCCTGCCCGGCGCCTACAACGTGCCGCGCCAACGAGCGCGGGGCATGGAGAGTCCCACAGGTGTCCTTTGGATCCGTTGGTTTGGTTAGATGTGGGCATGGGTCAAAATTAAGCCACCGCAGGTTTTAGCTCATGTTTCCATTTATCTTGGGTTCCATTTGGGGTGCGTATTTTTGACCCATTACCATATAGTTGGGGTTCCACTAGTTTCGATTGGTTTTAAGTGTTATTCATTTACCAATGCTCCAAAAGGTCAGCTATGCAGAGGCCTCCATTGTGGAAAACAGGGGATTAAAGGCCACCTGTTTTGTTAATGTTGCTCATGGAATATCCTTCGGGGAAAGCCCTACGAAATCACGGTTTGATACGGGGATGTTGATAAAGTAGAGGAACAACACACGGGGCAGTATTCTGGGGATTCGCTGAACAAAGGTGGGTGGTTGTCGAACAGATCAAGTTTGGATCCAGCACGGAATAGGTACGGACAATACCCGAGGGCGGGGTAAAACCAGCTCGCCCATGTTTAAGGTTCCTTGCTACTCAGTCAACGTTTGGGACTATCTTGCACAGTTGCCCTATTATGAACAAAGGTGTAGGGTTGAACGTCGGCCACAAAATAAGGGTGTGTTTTGCTGCGGGAATTGTCACCTCCCAGCTTTCTGGAGTGCCCGTGGCTCCCTGTTTGAATGAGCCCTGCTGGTGCCCTGGGCATCAGTGGTCTACCCAGGCCTCCAGCAAGGTTTTCTTCTTGTTGCTTTGAAAGAGGGTTTCGAACCCCACAAGGTCAAATGTGCGTTGTCGTCACCATCGAGGTTGGTTACTCAGAGTCTCAAAAACATGACCCTCCGACCTTTTGGAGGACAATTTACACTTGGATTCGAAGGCTTTCAAGGCTGTAGACATTTTGTATGGCATGGACGGTTCCTGTCTTGGCCCCTCAATTTGGATTAGACCTCCCTCCTCGTGTCAAAACTTCCGTGCGGATGTTTGGCTGAACCTCTGGTCAAGCTGGGTTGACCTGTCTCCATGACCCTTGCAGATGGGATACAGTATACCCCAAATGCAGGCTTTGCTGGTAACTTTATTTGGTAAGGGAAAGCCCCAACCACGTCGGTGCAGCTGCCCTTGTGATTGCTTGCTTTGCTTTGGGCAGACATGGTAGACTATTCCAACGCCAGGTTTGATTTTGACTCAGCTCGCGGACCTAGGGGACATCTGAGCAACTGACAGCACCGGATCAGCGCGGTGGATCAGCTGGCTATGAATTTTGAGGCCGTCACAACTGGGGTCTCCTCCACAATTCTACATTGTTGGGTCAGCCAAATAGGGAACAGAAGCAGAACATTATTTTCTGTGCACCCCAGATGTGGGCCAAGAAAAAGAGTTCCAACTCCAAAAAACAAAGTAAACCCATTCCTTAATTTGTCCATCGCTGCCAAGGAGTGCCTGGTGTGTGTCGGTAAGGAGCACAGCTGCATCTTCTGCACCGCCGCGCCTCGAAGAAGCAAAACCCAGGGCTTGCGAAAAGTGCCCAAAGCAAGCCACTCGAAGTGCGATTTATGGTGCCAGTGGCTTGGTGCCAAGGTTCTGACGTGAAGTATCATGGACAAGCTATAATATGGCCAATTTCAAGAGTAACCAACTCAACAATTGTTGGTGGACATGAATTGCCAGATGTCCACCAAAGGGCAACACAGGCGAACTGTCTAGTTCTGATGCTATCCTATAGAGAGGGTCACGTTCCATGGTTTTGGCTCCACGGTCTCCAACTTAGCGGGAAACTTATTTGGCAACGTATTTGGCAAGCTGCTTGACCAGAAATCTGAAACAGATTTGGCAACCTTGACCAAGCATTGACCACTGTTTTGGTCCTACTTGGCCAACTCAAGCTGCCAAGCAAGTCGCTGAAGAAGTCGCATTGGTTGCGGAGCCCAGTGGATCCCAGTTACCACTGCAGGCGAAAGGCGGGCTTTCCCTTCAGTTGAAAGGCGGGTTCCCTTGGCTACCAGCGGGAATTGCCAGCCACCTCTGTGGAGGTCACTGGGAAGTCTTAGGCTCAAACTCCCTTCCCAAGAATGTCGGAATGCTGGCTCAAACTCCCTTCACAGCCATGTATTTGCACGGAACTGCAAACATGTGGCGCGTGTTGATCAACGGTTCATTCCCAAAACGACTTCACGCCCCGCGTCGCCCGGCGTCGCGCGCGAGGCGATGCGGGAGGAGCTGGGCACCCGCACGGCGTTGTGGGACACGGTGCTGGTGATGGGCGAGGAGCGGAGAGATGGTGCCGAAATGTGGCTGCTTTCCACACCGGTCTGTGGTACCTGTTTTGGTTGCAACAATTGTTTGGACAACCCATGTTCAGTTTTGGGATAAATTATTGTAATTTGCCTGGATTGGGTGCGTTTCCTTTTTGAGGGCACTCTTTTTGGGGCTCCTTGTTGTATTGATTGCAACTGCAGAAGAAACAACAACAAGTACTTTATGGTTGAGCACTTATGCGCCGTATCCATTTTGGGGGGGTCGTTTGACGGGACGCCCTGCGATAAGATTTAGCTGGGTAGCCTTGGAAGAAGTTGAGGGTTTCGTGCACGCTGTCAGGCTAGAACTTCAATTGATTTTTTTCTCATGCACAGGGGATCCCCCGCAAGCCAATGTAGTAGGCAATCAGGGAGTTGCTCTTTGGTTCTTCAACAACAAACACTCCACACATCGTACATTGACATGTATCCTCCAAATGGGTCAACTGTTGAGTGCTTGGGAATGGTTTCCCTTGGGTAATTAGCTACGTGTATGGTGTCAAAATAGAGGGACCCCACAAATGGTAGTTTCCCCTTTTTCCTTTCGTTCCAAGGTCCCAATGGGTACAAAAGCGCACGGGTACAAAAAAAAGCGCACACAAATTGATGCGCTGGCTCGCCAAGCGGAGGAGGGAGATGCGGACAGCTACGAGGCCCAGAAGGTGGCTGTTTTCGTCAACATGGTGAAGGCGAGCGAATTCGCGGGCGGAGAAGCAGACCCGTAAGGGCGGTATGGGTTCGCTTTCACAACACCCTCGCACTGGGAATGTGGGAATATGCCGATATTTCACCCACTTGGTTATATTTGTAGACTATGCCAACTCACTCCTGGGAGTTTCTGGGCTCTAAACGGTGCCCATTTAAGCACACAAAAGTCTAGACTTTTTCTGTCTAATCCACTGAGGTGAGCCTTACCTGGATTTGGAAATGGATAGGACACTCGTGCTTCAAGCAATCGGAACCACCAGCTTCCGTGAGCTGCTTGGAAATTGCCACCCATGTCTTGCGGAACGGATTCTCGTGGACTGGGCACATATGCTATGACTCCATGGGAACTCGCAATGCCAACATTTGACCCACGAGGATAAATGTGGGTAAACACATGGAATGTGTGGGATGGTGAGCAATTGGTTGGGCAGTTCTTATTAGACTGGTCCTTTGGCAAAGTCAGGGCAAACCCTGCATGTTCAATCGACCCAAGGGGACAATTTGGGCTTCCCAACCTTTTGCTCCACTTCTTGAATGGCTCTCAACGATACTGCCGCCCCTTTCCCAATTGAGATGCCAGAGCGGCCCATGTGTCTTTTTTTTTGTTGGAGCCATTGTTTGTGTGCCACTTTCTTGGGGTCTCCGATCCGATTGTATGTTTGAAGGCTGACATAAACAATATGATCATTCTACCCATCCCTCTCCATTCACTTCAGGGATCTGTCCCTTCCCATGGGGCAAAGCCCGGTCAAAATGGTACCTTACGAGAATGGTGGTGAAGAGCACCAGGGAATCAACCCTTCCCAGAGGCTCCCGACTGATTTAGGGCCGGCAAGAGACCTGGTTTTGAGGCCCCCAACCACCTCCGGGGTGTCTAATGGAGGGGTCGGGTCTTCCATTAATTGAAAGCCGAAGCCAGGAGCCTCTGGGTTATCCAACTTTTGGTGTAGCCTCTTGGGCCAACGGCACGAAACAACAACTTCCAGGACTGCAAGAAGCTCGGCGTCTTCTGCGAGCCGACAGAGGCCGGGAGATGGACGCATCTCGCACTGCGCGCAGGAAAAGTGGCACGTCAGAAAGGTGTGTCTTGCTTTTCGGGGGGTGCCGCAAACTTTTTGTTTGTCCGTTTGGCTTCCATCAGCACGAAGCAAAACCGGGTTACCAAAGAAGGATAGACCCCAAACCGAAGCAACCGTATTCCATCTTTCCCCCGTTCTCTGGGGGTCTGGAGGAGTTTTGCCCGATTTGATTTAATTCTGATACCTGGTGTCTTCATGGCTTGTGTGAGCAGCGTGGCCAATCGAATGCGATGTCCTGGCTCGATTTTGGCAGTCCTTGCACTAGCATTATGGAAGTGGACAGAAGGTCAGAAGGTCAGAATTCCATTCTTTTTAACCTTGGTGGTTTGTGGAAAGAAGGATCCTGGAAAGAATTGTTTGGGCTAGTTGGTATGGGGATGTCCTCAGTTTAACCTCCTGACTTAACCCACATTTACTCTCATGAACCCCCCCATCAAGTTCATTTGATCCCTATTCAACCCCTCGCTGTTTTCCATGTTCATGAGCATCGACGGCGCAAACGAGGCCGGCAGATCTTTTTGCTTTCCTTTTGATGGTTTTCCATTTGGTGCGAGACCCCCAAAAGGAACTCCGGGACTTCCAGACCGCTGGCCAGGACCTGAAGATGACTGTGGAGAAGTGGCCGGTGGTGCAGGCGTTTGGCTATGATGAGCCAGGCACCCAGGAACCCACCATGGTCTTGTTGGCTGGTGCTCTGGGTGCGCTTTTTGGATGATTTTTAGGGTGTCCCATTGAGGGGGGGAATCAACTTATATACTCGTTTGGGGGGAAGCGAAAGCTCCCCTGTGAAACCAGAGCTGTAACAGAAGTCCCGGGTTGACAGTGTTTGGGGAAATGCAGGGAAACCTGTGGGAGGGATGGGATGATCCCGTTTTGAGTCGGAAACCCTGCTGAAATTTCAAGGTACCACGAAAACACGCCAACCCGCCACTCAATGCACTTTCTCCTTGCTTTTTGGTTGGGGCTCAACCAACAGCTCAGCAAACATGGGCGCTGCTATGGACTGAGGTTCGGCCAGGGTTTTCTGACCTTGCGCCGAGAGCTTGTGAACTTGGAGCAGGACATGCACCAGGTGGTTTACCCCGCCTGGGACCTTACTGCCATGCGCCTCGGCTGTTTTGCGCGGTGGCCTTTTTTTTTGGTGCGCCTGGGTGTTTGGAGCAACCCTTTGTGGTTTATTTCTCTCATGTTGATGCGGGTGTTTCCCTGAGAAATATGCAGGTCACGGATGTGGAAACCCTATGCATCAAACATGGGAAGGGATTCATTCGGGGATCAGACAGAGCACCTCCCGCGTTTTTGGAGCCCACGCTGCTTGCGAGGCAGTGGGCGCAGCAGCTCTTCCCCAAGTTCCAGATACTTGGATCGATCCAGTCACTGTTGATTCCCAGATCTTTGGAGGCTATGACATTTTCTTATAACAAGTGCCAAAGAGCACTGGGATTGACATTTGACACTGCAAGTTTCACTAGAGACTGGCCAGAAGCTCTGAGGTGCACTGCTCCTTTCCAGGTCTCTGCTTACATAGCGGGTGATTCTTGCTTAGGCTCATGTTATTGGCCCCCCCCCCCGCCTTCAAGCAAGGCCTGATGGATGCAAGTCCGGGTCTCATATTTTTTGGGGAGGGGAAACAGGGGGAAGCGGGGGGTGGGGTGGGGGGTCTGGGGAGGAGGATTGGAATCCTATAAATCAGCAACCCATGGGGTTCCAATCACAGGGTTCCGATCGCCACAGGACAATGTGGAGCTTCCTTTCGGCACCCACTGGTTACCCCATGGAACCTGGAAGGGCTCGGCCACCCGCTTTCCAACAATCATGGAAGTGGTCAAGTCAAGCGGCCTCTCTTAAAAGGAAAGTTGTCTTCCAAAGCCCGCCTGTCAGCTTCCCTGATTGTTGGAGGGAGGATAGGTTCCATGTTATTGGGTGGGAATGCATTGAACGGGTAGCCCACAAGTTTCAGCGAGGAGAGCTTGGGAGGATGCCATAGCCTTCCACGACCAGCACAGTCGTGCCACGCTCAGTCTTCTTCGGCTTTGGTAAAACATGAAAAGCGTGCGTCTTTTTGTAGGGGACCCCCAAAATTGTGGTGTTCCTCTTGGTTTTCCTGCAAAAGCACCAAAATCAAAGGCACCCTCAAGAAAATACCCTAATGAAGACACATCCTTTTTTGTGTGCCGGTTGCACAGGGTCCTCAAAAAGGTTCCCTCCCACACATTATGGTTTTTGACAAGGTGTGGGAACACAACTTTCCGGGTTGAAACAGCCGGCCCCGCAACCGCTTCCAACCTTCCCAGTGCTTTGTTGCCAGGCCAGGGACCTGGAGAGAGGTCTGCATGGGTCTTGTGCCGACTAAAGGCGTTAAGGAAGTAGAGTGTCCCACAAGTGTGTGAGTGAGTGTAAATTCTGCCAATACACGAGTATAGTTTGGAATACATAATATATATATATATATATATATTGCAAAGTTATATCGCCCAGTTTGCGGAATCCCTAGGACCCGCAAAGGTGGGAGAAGGTCGGACAGCATTTACGGCACGCGTTGCTTCCTTGAGCTTGTGCTGTTCAAGAAGCAGAAGCCAAACCATAGGGGCAGCAGGGGCAGCATTCCTGAGGTACTGTTTTCGTGGAACATGCGCATTCTCCAATTCGCCCGCAACAGATTAGACTTTTTGGGCTGGGGCAGGCCCCTTTTGGGCTGGGTTTCCTAGGTTCAAGTGGTGCCCCCATTTCCCCCAGCTCCGATTCGCCCAATTTGTGACGCAACGCACGAGCTACGGCTGCTCGATTTTTGGCCCTATAGGATGAGGCTTGAATAGAGATTTTGTTTGGTGTCCTAGTTCTTTTCATCAGGCACTCACTTGTTTTTTGAATGACCCGAGTTTGAAAAGCATGCCAGGAGGAAACGCATGTTTTCGGGTAGACTCTTTGAATACCACACGCCATTCCGCATGTTTCAAAGTTCGAGGCAGGTGTTTTGGCCAATTTCTTGTAGACTCTCCCGGTTTCCTTGAATGACTGCCCCTGTGGCCCCCGTGCCGCAATGGCAATGGACGTCTCAACCCTGGACATCGCCGGCCTGGACGGGTGCAACGTTCGCCTGGAGCTTTCCGCGAACGAAGCTCTGCTGAACGTGGCACACCCCAAAAGGGGTCGTTCCGCCTTTTTTTTTGGCAACTCCCAAACAAGGTGAGTGTTTCCTTTGCTATGGACCTCCGGATTCCGAAGTGCTCCCAGATTAGTATGGGTTGCCCAGATGATGTATCGAGGTCTGCAAGGAGATTCCTCACAGGGATTGTTTGGTTTCCAAGTTGGTATTTGTGCAATTCTGCATTGCGTTTGGTGTTTCTTCATTTTCTCTTTTAGCAATTGGTTTGTTGTGGGGGGGTCCATCTGGCCCGATTTGTTTGCTAATGGTTCAGCTGATGTTCTCAAAGTTTGTGATTGTTCTGGTGTTTCAGTTGTTGTTGTCTTGGTTATTTTCTACATTGCGGGGTGGGGCTCCCTTTAGATTCAATCAAGTAAGATGGGTTTGTCTCGATTTCACATATGGAACCGCCAAAATGTGTTGTTTTTTTGGGTTTTTTTTCTTTAAAGCACCCCCAACAGAAAAGGAAGCTTGAAACATGTCGCACCTATACAGCATATTGTTGGGTGTTGGATTTGATATCGCGAATTGGTTTCGTTTGCAATCAATTAGCAAAGAAGAGTCAGGCCATTTTGGGCTTCCATTTCCCTCTCGCGTTCGAAATTCACCACAGAGTTCGCAGCAATTGGGTCACGTAAGCGGGAAAGAGCTACCAGCAAAAAGCTATTGATCTGTTTTCCTGGGTGGGTTTCCCTTTAAAGTCACCAACCAAAGGGGGGCTCCTGTCATCTTATGCCATTGGTTGCAA